GTATTTGGGGGTTACTTTCAACTATAATGGCAGCTCTTCAGCTCATATAACCTCTACAATCTGTTCTGCTGAGAGAAATGTTAATGCTATTATCAGGTTTTTTAGGAAGGAGGGCCAAGGTGTTATTCTTGCGGCTTTGAAATTATTTGACGCAAAGGTCCTAACCCAACTCACATATGGTACGCAAGTAATCACAATAAATGAGAATAATTTTAAGGACCTGGAAAAAGTTCAATCTAAATTTATTAGAGCATTGCTTAATGCGCCTAAATGTACAGCGAATGTAGTTCTTAGGCAGGAGATTGGGGTGACAAAAATGGAAACGAAAATCTGGATTGCTTCGATTACTTATTTGTTAAGAACGCACTTGAAGCCTACAGGTCTAATTCCATCTTTTTTAGCGGCCACTCCATATCCTCAATGGTCCTCCAAAATACTAGTCAAACTTGGATCAATCGGGCTTCATCTATAGTAACCCAACGCCTAATAGATATAGAGGCTCAGACAGAAGCTGTAAGATATAGAGCCTTAAAATCTTGGACAGGTTTTGCTCCCGCTCCGTATCTTTCTAATATCATATACGACGGCTATAGATGGGTTTTCTCTAGAGCACCTTTTGATGCCCTACCCTCAAATTTGTTACAAGGAAGGTTTTTGCGTTGGCCTAGATCCCAAAGATGTTGCCCTTGTACAAATCTTGAAATAGAGTCGGTCTCACATGTTCTGTTACATTGTAATTTTTATGCTATGGAGAGATTGTTGTCCAAATTTAAACCCTTGGATGTCCAGTTGAAATTTGCGGAATTAAGGATTTTAAACTTTTTGTTGGAAGACCGGAGAGAAAGGATTTCTTTAGCTGTGGCAAAATTTTGCTTCCAGGCCCTTAAAAAAATGATATCTTAGATAGTGAATAGCTGACAAATTAGCGTTGTTTTGGTGAGTTTTAATGATAATTGTGCTGCTTCTATATCCGTTTTAATGCTTTTATATATCTATTTGATTTTATGTATTACTGTGTATTTTATTATTCCCCTTGGAAATGTTCTATAGTGGCTGGTCACTTGACCGTATTAATAAACTTGACTTGACATACAAGAAATGTGCACAAACACACCAACAGGCCTTGCAAGCAACCTACAGCAGAGACTTGAGCAAAACTTGATCCCAAGCACAATATTTATTTATTTATTTATTTCATTGGATTTCTTGACTGCCCTTCCCCGTTTACATGGGGCTCAGGGCGGTTTACAAGTGGATAATTCAATACAAATTATAAAACCAATTAAAACCACAAGCCTACAATATTAAACAATCAACATACATATTTAAAACATTGCAAGAACAAATGACATGTCTAGCATTCACATTTTTTTGGAGGGGGGAGGGCGGGCGGGTACCGGGCAGATGTAAGGAACCATCGCTGGCCTCAGAGAAAGGCCTGGCGGAACATCTCTGCCTTACATGCCCTGCAAAACTTTAATAGATCGGACAGGGCACGGATGTCATTTGGCAGAGAGTTCTACCAGGCCGGGGCCAAGGCTGAGAAGGCCCTGGTCAAGGCCAGCCAGATATCTTTGGGGCCGGGAG